AACAGGGTTCCCACGCTCCTTAAAAGTCCTTAAAAACTGCTTAGTTTTTATTTTGAAAATTAAGGGCCCTTAAAAGTACTTAATTTTAATTCAAGGTTCTTAAAAGTCCTTAATTTCTAGTATCACTAGTTGGTTGGAACAATTTTTATATCTTAGAAAAATATCTACAGTTAAAAAGTACATCTTTCGCCTAAAATGAGATCCTGCATCGAGGGTATAACATTTTGAATGCATGTGAGGGAAAGGTTGGTTTTGAAAGCAAGTGGAAGAAAACATGCTCTTATTGTTTTTATTTTATTATTAATTTTTTTCATTAAAATATTTTTTCTTTCTGGATCATTCTAAAAGAAAAAAAATTTAGGGTGAGGAGAGGGGAGCGTGATACTGCAGGTGGGTAGAGGTCTTGACTTATTTTTAGACAGTACTTAGATACTTTATCAGCTGAAGACTTGCATTGACCTTCTTCATCCATAGGATTCGAGAAATTCAATTCTTCTGATAGCACATGTGATTGCTTTAATACTTCATTCAAATGTGAAATTGTTAGAAATGCCAGGAAAGTGTGTTTTTAATAATTTATGGGCACTTGATGAAAAATATAAGGAATTGCTAACAGCATCTATTGATCGTCACAAGGCAAAGTGTATTTTTTCATTGTGTCATATTTTCTTCTGAAGTTCAATTTTATAAATGATTCCATTTTTTAATATTAAGGATATTACAAATATTCGGCGACGTATAATTTTAATCAGGAAAGTCATTTTTGTCGTTTTATCATCGACACTTTTTGTTTTGAAAAGAGTGAAATGTTTGTTTTCTTTTTTCACTTTTGCTGGGGTTTTTTTTTAAAGCGCGGCATTTTAACAGCGTTTCTGATATATTTTATCTCCACTTTTTCTTTTAAAGTTATACAGATAATTGGATAACCAGTAAAATAGAAAATTGATTTTCTACGTTGCCAGTTTTGTTTTAAGAATTTAGAAAAATTTTCTGTTTCTCTTTTGCTTTTTTGATTAACTGTGCTTTTTTTATTTTGATAGCATATTTTAAAAAGCCTTCTTTTTCGTCATTTTTTCTAAAGATCCGGTTGTGTGAAACACTCAAAGCGTAATCTACAACGTTTAATTTTTCTTATAAAAAATGAGAACGATTTTTTGTTTTTATTTCTGCTTGGCTTCCCCATTTTATAAAAAACAACAACAAAAACTCTTGTTTTTGTTATGATGCAGCAATTTTAACGTGCACTACTCTTAGACATTTTTAAATCGATGTATCGCGAATTATTGACTTAACGCATATATCGGCAGGCCGATATGATAACTTTTATTCTAGGCGACGCATCAGGAATCTGATTTAAGACGATGTTCGTGGTTTAACGTGCGAGGATTCTTGCCTATGCTAACGCTATCACCGCACTGACGAAGACTAGTTTGATTTCGTCTAGCTGCGAAGATGTTCATTTCATTTTTAGCTACGAAGATGATTTTCTTTTTGTGATATTGAATAACGAAGAGAGAGGAGCAGCGTTGAAATATAGAACGTGATGCATAGTTACTTTCTGCACCATATTCGACCTTTGGATTTTACGTTTCTTGAAGATTATTTTCAGCGGGCGTTATTTTGCGATTGCTGTGCGTTTTATTTCGGCGGGATATAACATTTCAAGTAATTTATTTTCAGTGAGAATTTTGCTACTTAGCGATCGTTGCGCATTATTTCGTCCCTTTTTTTTTTCTGTCTGGATTTAACATTGTCAGTTATTTTCAGCAGACCTACTGTTACTTGGTGATCGTTGCGCAATTGCTGTTATCTTAAATTTTCATTCTGAACTTAATATATTAAAGAAAAGAAATCATGAATTAAAAAAAAGATTCTTTATTGATCTTTTTAAAAGTGATACTATTTAATATTTTATGTATTTTGTATTTAAATATTTTATACTTTGTGATCAAAAGTTTTTTTTAAAATTTATTTAATTCATGTAAATATAATAATTTGATAGAATTCGATTAGTTTTTAAACCAATAAATCTTCAGTCGCTTTTAGTTTTAAAAAAAATTAAAACAAAGCCTACATTTAATTAATTTACTTTTATTTTTGAGGAAATTAAGACAGAGTTTGCTGTTCTTTCTTTTCTTTTTTTTAAATTTGACTGTTAGTTAAAATTACTAAATTTTTTTAAATTAAATAAGAAGTTAAGCAATGTTTTAACGCTTTTCAATAATTTGACAATAGTGCTCTTAAATATAGAATATTTTTTTTTATTTTTAAATTCCTTCAATACGTGTTCGTTTAATAATTTGTTAGATAGTCAGTATTATTTTTAAACATTTAAATTAGTCTATTTCATTTTCAAATAGGAAAATAATAATAAAGAAATAAAGAAACTTACATGTATTTTTACATTAAAACCGTTTGACCATTAGTCAATACAACTTTATTATTTTAAATAAGTAATTAGCAAAAGCCTAACAATGTTTAAAACGCACATTTTTTTTC